GAGCCTATGAAAAGCCCTGTTGGCATGTATCCTGCTCAGAAAATAGGTCCCTGGAGGATGTCCTCACTGGTGGGCCCCACGCAACACTTCTTCATAAGGGAGTCTAAGGCTTTGGGGGTAAGTCAATTGCCTTCTATTCTATAGCCTGGGAATTCTACGGCATATTGAAGCCGATGGCTATAAGCCAGGTGCAGCCTCAATCCTACCTGAAGAAATTTTATCCGAGCTGAGGTCTTTTCTATGTCTCACATAGCTGGGCCAAATCTGGATGAAAGTGATTACCTGATCACCTCAAGGTGATCTTATATCCCCCTTGGCACTGGCATTGAGGCTTGTGTATATAGGAGCCTCCCATCTCAGTTTTGTCCCACACCCCAGGGACATCTGTTCCTTGGAAATGTCCCACATAATGGGGAACACTGGTCTGAATAAAAAACAAGCTTTTCACAGCTTCCTTCAGACCTTTGACACAGACCCAAGTCAGTAGTCAAAACTTCCAGCCTTACCTTGATTTCTAACATGACGGTGGTTTCCGTTCATACATCAGTGTGTCTGTTTTCTCCCCAGGCTGTCCAGATCATGAATGGGCTCTTCCACTTTGCGCTGGGAGGGCTCCTCATGATCCCCATAGGAATCTATGCTCCTATCTGTATGACTGTTTGGTACCCTTTCTGGGGAGGCATGATGGTGAGTAGAAAATAACAAGCATTTGGGGAGTGAAACATACAAAATGCAAAAAAAAAAAAAAAAAGCAAACAAGCAACCACACATTGGTCGGATGGTTTCTGTGTTGAGGGAAGTATGTGGGTAGGAAGCAGGGTATCAGGCTAAAAAAATGCAGCAGGAAAAGAGCTGATAGCATTGAGTACACATCCTGTAGTTGAATGGCCATGCATTCTTTGGTTGAGAGTCAGGGGTGTGCTTCATCCGAAGCAAGGAAAGACATGAATCAAGCAGGAAACAGACTGTCCTATGCAGGACTTCTCCAAAGTCAATTTGGGGCAGGCAGCTACCCTTTTGGACTGGGTGGCATCGGTGGTTTGGAAATTAAGAAGGAACAGTAACAGCCTGGTCCCGCCTACCTGCTCCTTTATCCTGACAATTGTGTTACTATGGCACCTGGCAAACTTCATCCCATCCCAAATAAATCTCCTTGTACTTCTCAACAAAGCAGAAGTCCTTTTGGCTGTGTTGTGAACATGCTTGCCAAGCTTACAGCCTCTCTCGGCCTGGTGTGGGCACTGGTGGTTCTTTCACGGGCACTTTCATGGTTTCATTTTAAAGCTGGGTTTGGGAACCAAATTTTTCAAAACAAGAGGTATTAGACTAGAGCAAATTTTCCTCCATTCAACAACTCAAATGTTAGGAAGGGAAGATTTCTTAACAAATATTTTGTGTGACATAGTTTCGTAACAATCTTTCTTGAATATATTCTTTTTAGTGACTACATAATCAACCAAAGGTTTTCAGATTAAAAATAATAATTGCCATGACTACCTATAGAACCATCATGTAAGAAAATTCCTTTGACAGACATGCCACGTGATTCTTCATTGATAGCATATCCACAGCGCTATGGTAGAAGACCTTCTTTCCCTCTCTACCTTCTACTGCAGACAGAAAATAATCTGCATACTATTTATCATCATAGTGAGTCCCCAAAAGCAATTCCATGAAATTTTTTGGTCAAAAGTAAACCTTTTGAATCCACAATGTGAATCTTCATTGAAATGAAAATGTGAAACCTGCCTCCTTGCTCTTAGAATAGTCTTAGTCAAAGCTCCATGAGAGCTGAGTGAAGGGGATGGGTTGAATGTCATTGATCCTGAATAAAGGAGAGTGATGAGGGCTGAAAAATAAATGGATCCAATGAGCATGAGGGGATAGTGCAGTGACTGTGATTGGAGGTTCAGATGGCCTCTTACAACCAGTCCTCGATGTTAACCAGTGATCTGATCTCCCTCTCGCCTTCCTTCCCCACCCACTTCTCCACACCCCATCCCCTCTCTCTTTGCAGTTTATCATTTCTGGATCACTCCTGGCAGCAGTGGACAAAAACCCCAACAATAGTCTGGCAAGTAATCATATGTTTTTCTTTATGAAGCAAAAAATACCCATTTTCTCAGTTGAAAATGCCTCTCAACCGTAAAGGGCAAAAAAATCTTCAAAATCCTATTGCGGTCTTTATTCATCAAAAAATTTGGAAATGAGTGTTACAACTCTTTTAGAATTTGTCTAGCAGGTTTTCTGGCTTTCTCAAGAAACAGCGCCCCCCCCCAAAAAAAAATTTTTTTTAATTGTATCTATGTGAACTATATCCATGGTTATAGTTCAGAATTAAAAACAGATTGATCTGTGAAGATTGTGCTTTAGTCTTTGTCCCATCTACCCCAACCCACCACTTAGAGAAATCATTTAATCAGTGCTGAGACTGATTCAAATTCTAAGTTATTGTTTCATTGTAACCTTAGGAATGTTATTTTAACTCTGTCTCTCTGCATTTTCACCTCCATAATGCAGATGATAGTCTTTGCTTCCATATTAAATTATGAGGACGAAATGGAGCCACAAGTGTGAAAGTGCCTTAGAGGCTGTGGACTGTTCCTATGGTCCCTCGGGATTAATGTACACCCAGGAATACGACACTACACAGAGCTCCTGATTCTACGTCCTTTGGGTCAGACACTCACCCGGCATTTTCCTCCCAAGTACAATCTGAATACAATGCTCCCTCAACATTCTCTTATACTTTCTAAACTATTGCCAAGCTCAGAGGCTTTCAAAGTAAGTGGGGAACTAGCTAAATTGAGCTGCTTCCTCTGTAAAGGAGGTATAATAAATTCCATCTGGGGGTGAGGAGGGACCGTTTATAAAGACCAAATTGTTCTAATCTACAAGTATGGCTAGGCTTCTTGACTTATTATCTGAAGGTCATATAGCCAGGGGTAAACTATACAAGCCCTAAAATAATCAGCAGTAATCATAAATTACTAAGTACTTTTTACATCTATTTTCTGATTCCACATTGTATCAGTCCTACACACTCACCTTCTCATATCTGTGCTCCTCAGAGAGGATAGCTGTCAATTGTACTCTGAAAGATGGTTGACAGAGGCTGATTGCAATTGATGTCAGCAGGGAGTAAGTCTTGGTAGTGATGGTGCTGCCTGCTTCTTTCTATGATGGTACAGAGCTAGAAAGTTCTATCTGCTCCTTCGCTATCTGTACCTACAACCCCCTGCTTCAGTGATAGAAGACATTCCTTCTCTCTCCTCCTTCTACCTTCTAGTGCAGACAGAAAACTATCTAGACACTATCTTCATTTAGTCAACAAATATTTGTGAATCTCTATTAAGATGGCAAGAGAGGCATGGAAGGGAAGTGCAAAGATACAGCCTGGAAGAATAAAGGATCACTCCTAAAATTTTGACACAATAAACTGAATCTGCTGTAGTATGGAAATCAGAAAGCTAGGCTAAGAAAGGTACGAGAGCGCGAGATCAAGGTCCTGAGGGAAGAACCACAGTGTGATGGTGCTGTGGTACCTTAGTGAGACACGCGATGGCATCTGGGACACCATCCTCGCTTATATTTTCCTAATGGAAAGCAAACCCAATAAACAAAATCTGTGTTACCCTTTCAGGTCAAAGGGAAAATGGTAATGAACTCACTGAGCCTCTTCACTGCCATTTCTGGAATAATTCTTTTGATCATGGACATATTTAATATTACATTCTCCCACTTTTTAAAAATCGAGAGCCTGAATGTTTTCAGAGTGGCCACACCACATGTTACTATATACAACTGTCAACCGACTAAGGCGTCTGAGGACAATTCTCCAGCTACACAATACTGTTACAGCATGCGATCTGTGTTCTTGGTAAGTGTGAAACAGAATTTCTCTGCAGGGACGATGTGTGGCATTTGATTATGACCATCTAGACGCTCTGGATTTGCCACTTTCTAACACTGTGGCCTCGGACAAGGTTTTTACTTCATTCCGTCTCAATCTCTACATCTATAAAATGGGGACTATAACAGCTGGTTTGAGGAATACATGAAGGAGCATATTCCAAGCACCTAGAACAGTGTGTGGTACATAAAAAATGTAACATACATATTTCTTATCAATATTTTTTCTACTAATGGCATCAATATTACTATGCATTAAGGAGACCTTTGGTCTCAAGGGGTTTAAACATAGAGTTGAATGGGTGTGGGGAGATCTTTCAAATCAGTGTGCACCTTTCAAATGTAGCAAGGTTTCCTTGGCTTGATACCACAGCATCTAAAGCTGGCTACAATTTAATTGGGTTTTAGTAAAAATTCCCTTCAATATAAAATGGGTTCTTGCACGGTTGAATATCCCTGCAAGATAGATGACCCCATCTGTTGTGTATCAGGAGTTGTGCTAAGGGTGAACCTTGTAAAGATACTGTCCGTTGGTGCTGCAAAAAGTTCACACACTCCAGCAGCTAACTCAAAGGTTAGAGGTTCCAGACCACCCAGAGGTGGCTTGGAAGAAATTCCTAGTGATCAAGCCCTGGAGAATTAGCCACTGGAAACCCCTCTAGAGCGCAGTTCGACTCCAACACACACGAGATCATCTTGGGTCAAAATTGAGATCAACTGGTCTTGTTATCTTCTGTACTAGCAGGCCTCACAACTACTCATTATTCACCTTCCATCGTTGAGTTTGATTCATCAATCGCTTACTGAACATCGGCCGTGTGCCTTCCTTGTGTCATTATTGCATGTTCACCCTGGTCTCCTCTCGTACTTTAGGGCATTTTTGCAGTGATGCTGATCTTCTCCCTACTCCAGAAACTTGTGGCAGCTGGCATTGCCGAAAATGACTGGAAACGACTGTGCTCGAGGCCAAAATCTGTAAGTAGTAACTACTCTGTCCACAGCCACCCTCTAAATGTTAGAGTCAAAAGCAATCACGTCTACCAAACATCTTGTATGTAGAAGGAAACTAACTGATGAGGTTTTGGGGCAAGGGAGCTTTATGAAAGTAGCCCTGCTTATTTTTGTAATGCAGGAAATACCAATAATGAGGAAAATTGTCTTCGTGTTGGAAATAAGTCCAAAGATTAGGCAGGATATGCAGTTTCATCATGTATGTGACTTGCTAACCTTCCAATCACCTTGACTTCAGGCTTTTCTCTTGATTTCATAATGGCATCGTTAATGTTCGAAAACAAGACAGGTTAAGGTTGAAGGCTGCTAATTCTTTGAGTTAGGTTCTCAGTATCCCCACTATTCTTCCTCCTTTTTCACCCCATTCTTCTTCTAATACAATTGGTTCAAAAGACTCTACAATTGGGAAATATAACTATCCTAAAGATAAATCAACTGTTGCAGAGTCATAGAAAGTTAGATTTTTGCATAGAATTTAGAAAGCATCCCAACCTCTTCATTTTGCAGATGAGGAAAACGGGATCAGAGAGCAAAAAGTAGTTTTCCTGAATGAGAGTCCCCAAAGGGAAAGCACATCTAGACTCTGAACTTCTCTAATACTGCAGTATTCTTTACTCGAATACCAAGTACTCCCTCCGGGCAGATCTAGAATCTGAACTTCTCTAATACAGCAGTATTCTTTACCCGAATACCAAGTACTCCCTCTGGGCAGAAGGGCAAATACCTATTGGCCCTGAACGTTTACTCAGGGGTGCTTGATAAGTAATTGTAGAGAGTGTTGAGAATGACAACAATGACAAAGGTCAAAAAATGTTCCTTTACTTTGTGTTCTAGAATGTGGTTCTCCTATCAGCTGAAGAAAAGAAAGAACATACTATTGACATAAAAGAACAAGTGGTTGAGCTAACTGAAATCCCTTCCCAACCAAAGAATGAGGAAGACGTTGAAATCATTCCAGTCCTGGAAGAAGAAGAAGAAGAAGAAGAAGGAGAAACAAACTTCCCTGAACCTCCCCAAGATCAGGAATTCTCACCAGTAGAAAATGATAGCCCCCCTTGAATAGATTTTTCTGTTCTTTCTTTTTTTTAATCATTAGTGTTCATTGTTTCTAAGAAGATAGATGTACATATTTTTCCCTGGGCATGCACATCCTCCACATTCCTCTCTCTGACCTTTCAGAGAATGCCCACCACACCCTCTCTTCTGCTCAGTGAATGTAGCGACTGTAGCAAATTATGCTTTCTGGCTTCTGGTTTTGTACAACTCTTACATTAAAAAAAAAAAAAGCAGAATAAATGCAGTAGGAAGTGTTCGCTCACTGGTCTTTCCTTGTCATCTTTTAAAAATCTTCAATCCTTCCATTTTTCCGCACCTGTGTTTTTGGTAGTGCTCCTTTTTGCATCATTGCTTTAACAAAAGTAAAAATAAGTAAAATAGACTACGACAGCTACTTCATCCATGTTTTGCTGGGAAGATGTGGTGATACATTCTCAGAGCCTCTGCACTAAAGGAAGTTCTGTATACCAGATAGATTCTTTCTACAAACAACATAGCTTACGCATGGAGATATATATCTGTACTCATTTTTCCTAACTCCTGGCTGCACAGCATACCAGCCTCTAGCCTTGATGCAAAAGGAGAATGAATGAAAACAATTTGTAATGAATACCCAACCCTTGTATAATAATCGAGACTCTACTTATAGACTGTGTTTGAGTTCACAAAGCATTTACACAAATAATCCCATTTGTTGTTCTCTGGCCTAGAAAAAAATGTCTGTATTTCACAAATGATTCACGGAAATATAGAATTTTGTAGTCGGTAAATGTATTTGTCCATAGTCACAGGTGTTCATTGTGAAAGACTGGTTTCATCTCCAGATCTTCTTACTCAAATTCTGTGATGTATCAAGTAACTGAATTGCTTAGCCAAATAGCTCATAAACTACTAGAGTCAAGTCTACAGGTCTTACTCTCTAAAAAGTATTGAGAGAGTTAGAAGAAGTCAGGTTTTTAACCTCCTGGAAATAAAAAAACCAGCTATTAATAACATAAGGCAAACTACATCACTGATAGATTAGTCACTAGAAGGTGTAACGCAGATTGCTAAATGCTGTAGACATTCTCAGAAAGATCATGTTTGGAAATAGCATGATGGGCTGAATTTCTCATACCAAATCTTAGGAAAGAGCCAGTTTCTTGGTTCTTGTTCATATCAAAGAGATACTGACCCTACCTAGAAGAATGGCATACAAGAGATCACTCTACTGATTAGAGTCTAACCTACCAACTACCTTGGACCATTTGAATGTCACTAGATTGTGGCAAGTACAGTGATCACTCAGTTGTCAAACTCAATTCACTCCAAATTTGTGTTCAAAACCAAAAAGTTCAAGAACTGAACATTTTCCCCATAATAATGATAAACCAAATAATTGGTTCTGGGGCCCCAAAATTATACTTCTAAATTAATTTGTCAAGAGTTTTAACACAAAGCTAACAGCCTTAGGTTGTGGAAACACCCCCTAAAACATCTATATATAATACCGTGCATTAAATATCAAAGCATAACACAGTAAATAAAATTAACTTATTTTCCATTATGTTGTTTCAAATCCTATGGGTTTTCAGAATGGTACATAAACACAGGCTTCACTTTAACATCCTCATCAGCACTCCCGCACGACAACAGAGCAAGTCTACCTTTCATAGGCTCGTGGCCTGGTAATGCCTTTCTTCTTTAGTAGCAGAAGTCCTACTGGGCATTTTCCCCCTAAAGAGTCCACTTTTGTCACAGCTGAACATTTGCTGGGGAAGAAAACCTTCAGGCCCCAGGTATTCAGCAAATTCAGTCACAAATTTATCAGCTTTATCTTTAGTTGTATGCACTCCTATCCCCATGCCTCACTACGCTGCTGGAATGTCTGGTCTCTCTTTGAATTTTTCAAATCAGTCATGGCTGGCTCTGAGTCCTTCAGGTTGCTTAACACTCACTCTCACTATATTTTTCAATAAATCTCTATGAAGGCTTTTAATCATACTGTCTGGGATTCTCGATCGCCATGGATTTGTTTCTGATTTATCCAATTTAACAGCAGCTTCAACCTCTTCAATGATCTGGGTTCTTTATTTCATGGTTAATGATTTCAGACCTTTCTCCACATTAGCCACTTAAATCACTTTCTTTTAAATAATGTGAATAATGTCTACTTAGCCATGTTGTATTCAGCTGCCAAATCAGACAAGCATCAATGATTCAGATATTGCAATGATGTCTTTCTTTTAACTCTATCATGGTTCTTACAGTTTTCTCTTAGCGTGACTTCTGGTGCCACTTTCTTTCTTTGGAGCCATGGTTACAATACTTTATGCAAATAAAGTACAAAAAGAGAACAGTGGCAAAGGTCTTAATGCACTAATACAAGCACCGTCTACTGTCTGAGCAAGAGTGGCTGGAGTGTCCCCCTTTTGTGTGTAAGGCGAGACACGGTGAGTGGCCCATTCTTGGCTGTACTGGTTTTTTCAAGTCAGATGATCAGTTGAGCAAAGTTATGAACACTGAGCAGATTTTTTTCTTTAATTTTGCTGTTCAAGTAGTGGAAAGTTTGAGCTTGGAGCCATTTAACAACTGAAGTATAACTGTATAGAGATCATTCAGACCACCAGTGGAATATATTTCCGGTAATTAGAAAAAACAAACAAACAGAAAGCAGACCATGCAAGGCTACTATAGGCCTGAGTGCATACTCATCTAACCCCTAACAAAAATTTACTTGCATGTGCTATCAGTGATATTGCTCTATAGTTTGCGCACCTTGGGGTCACTTTTCTATTGAGTCCCCTTTCTTTGGAATGGGTATAAATATGGATCTCTTCTAGTCAGCTGGCGAAGTAACTGTCTTCAAAGTTTCCTGGAATACACAGGTTCATCAGCTTGCTGAAGCATTTCAATGGGTGTTCCATCAATTCCTGGAGTCTTCTTTTTGAATAATGTTTTCAGTGTAGCTTGAACTTCTTCCTTCAGTGCCACTGATTCTTGCTCATATGTTCAAAGTCTTGAAAAGGTTGAGCATCAACTCGTTCTTTTTGGTATCGTGACTCTGGGTATACGTTCCACCTCCTTTTGATGCCTCCTGCATCATTCAGTATGTTGCCCATAGACTCTTTCAATATTGCAGCTTAAGGCTTGATTTTTTTCCCCAGTTCATTCCGTTTAAGATATGTTGAATATTTTCTTCCTTTATGGTTTTCTAACTCTAGACCTTTGCACATTTCATTAAAATATTTTACTTTATCTTCTCGAACTGCCCATTAAATTTTCTGTTCGGCTCTTTGACTCCATCATCTTTTCCACTTGTTTTAGCTACCCTACCATTAAGAGCAAGTTTCAAAATCTCTTTGGGCATACAAACTGATCTTTCTCTCTTTTTTAACCCATTCATCATTTATTCAAAAAAATTTATTTGTAATGTTTTTTTTTTCTTAAGTCATTTTATTTGGAGCTCATGCAGCTCTTATCACAATACATACATGCATCCAGGTATCAAGCACATTATCTCTTGTCTTTTTAATGAGCTTTTCCCTTCTTTACATGTGATGTTTTTTATGTCATCCCATAGCTTATGAGATCTTCTGTTATCAGTGTTTAATGCATCAAATCTGTTCTTCAGATATTCTTGAAATTCAGGTGGGATAGACTGTATTTGGAGATAGGTTGTATTTGGGCTCTCATGAACTTGTTTCAACTTTCATCAGCCTCAACCTGAACTTATATATGAGTAATTAATGGTCTATTCCAAGGTCAGTCCCTGACCTGGTTTTAAATGCTGATATTGAGCTTCTCCACAGATGCAGGAACTTTTATTTCTGTGTTTCATTCCCAGCATGGTAAAACATATGATTTTCTGATGCAAAATGTCCATTACCAGTCCACTTCAGCTCACTAATGTCTAGAATGTCGATTTTTATGTGTTTTGTTTCATTTATTACAACTTCCAATTTTCCTAGATTCATACTTCTTATATCCCAAGTTTCAATGATTAATTGATGTTTTCAACTGTTTTTTCTCATATTTACTTGTCCCCCATCAGCAAATGAAGCTCTCAAAGGATTACTTCCACAGACTTAACTCCATCCATGTCATGATGGTCAACTCTATTTTGAGAAGGCCTCTCTGTCTCAGTCACATTTTGAGTGCCTTCTGATCTGAGGGCTTCATCTTCTGGCACTATCTCTGACAATGTTCTGTTTCTTTCATGGAGTTTTTGGTATATTACAATGTTTCAATTCTGTTCATAAGGTTTTCAGCGGCCAAGTCCTCAGAAGTGGACGGCCTATTCTGCCTTCCCAGTCTGTTCTTAGTCTGGAAGCTTGGCCAAAACCTGTTCACTTTGGGTGACACCTGATGGTATTTGAATTACTGGTGACATAGCCTCCAGCATCAGAGCAACACACAGCACCAGCACAGTACAACAATCTGACAGTGGTAGAATTCTAATAATAGTATCATTAATCTAGTCAATGATATAGATTTTAAAACACGATTGAGAAAAGGTAAATATACATATATAGGAAAGCTTTTATAGATGGAAACATATAGGATATTCATTTATAAAAGCTAAAAGCTTAAGTAATTGAACATTGTTTAAAAGAGTAATGAGGGTTAGACACAAAGCAAAACTTTCAATCACCCTCCTTCACTAAGGCAAAACTATGTCTGCAGGACTATGTCATGTCACAAAAAGGAAAGAAAGCATTAAAATAGCAAATATATGGTAGTCTTACATTGCCAATTATTAGGCAACCTCAAAAGCAAGAGATCAGAAGAGAAAATCCAAAGGAGTAATTCAGTTCCTTTAATTACCTCAAGTGTGTTAAGGTAAAGTCTGGTTCCCTGAATGGGATTTCAAATCATATAAATCTGATGTGATCTATGAAGAGTACTGTACACCTAAAAAATAAAATAAAATCTAAAATTAAATTAGCCTATAGCACGCAGCCTGGGTCACCAAGGAACTGCCAACCTTTTCGTTAGCAACCAAGCCCTTAACAATTTTGTCACCAGATCTCCTCTTGGGTAATATGTAATGAAATAATCACATTGGTCAACAGAAAACATGCTTTGTACTAGAGTAGGAGATAGATACTCTGGACTTTATTATCTTCCTCTCAGCTTTTATTTTTATAAAAACAATCTTATAACTATGAAATAAATAAAGTTTATAGAAATCAATTTTACCCA